TTGGGATCCTCCAATAGGATACGTGCTGTCCTTCTCTTTTGTTACTCTTTCATAGATTTGCACTGTGTGGTGCTTAAAGCTGGGGTGTTATGTGAAAAAACAATCGAAAAATTATGAACTCAAAGTGTATTTCTCTGGTCTCGCTGTTCACATGTTTTTCTCTTTTGCCTGCAGAAAATGTTTTCAGACAGCTCACTTCTATGTGGAAGACAGCAATTCACCTCGGGTGGTCCCTAATGAAAGTATTCCTATTATTCCTATTCCGGGTAAGTAAGACACTACACTTGTTCCAATGGGTGGTTTTCTCTTTTGTTTGCTATTTTATGTGACAGCCATGACAAAATATTATTTTGTAACCTTTTAAAGCTTGCCCAGCTAAGAGACACTGCACTAGGGGTAATGTAATGAAATCTTGGCTCCTTTGTGTATGTATAGAGTCATAAGATTCTCTTCAGAAAAATAGATAACAGAAGTCAATACAGTACATAGTCACAAGTAGAGCTGAAGAGGAACAGTAGTGGGAAAGCTGGAAAAACATACAAAAATCCTATTTTTAATCTACTAGGACTGATTATTTAATAGGCAATTTATGCTTGGTTATCATAAATTTGAATATATTAAAAGGTGACTTTTTCACTAACATTCTTTAATGTGAAAACTAGGCATTTTAACGTTGGATGTGGTAGTCTTTAGGTTGTTCATGTGGAAATCTAAGGATATGGTATTGGTCTGTTGTTTGTTTCAGTTATCCTAAGATAAAATGATAAAATAGTGAGTACAGGAGTAAGGGTTGATGGAGCACCCTGTTCGTAGCCCTAGCCAATTACTGCCAGAGATATTAAAAAGTTCAGCAATAGGATAATTGTTGTAAACAGAATGTAGGATATGAAAACCTCTCCCACCCTTTTTATTGGGAGTCCTTTCACTTTTCCCACATTTGAGCTCTCTACTGCTAAATTTTAGTATGAGGTTCTAAATACATACATTCAGACATTTTATGCATCCTTCACCTTGATGTGAATTGGCTTTATGTACAGTCACTATTTGTATTACAGTACTATTCCCTTCCTCTCCCATCGCGCCTTCTTCTATTTGTCTGCCTCATTCCCTATACACTTTCAACAAGCTAATATGTTTTACTTACCTTTGTTACTTTCTCCTGGAATGAAAGCTTCCTCAGGGCAAGTGGGTGGATTTCCACTGCAAGAATGAGACACAGTACGTAGTAGGCACTCCGTTGGATGGAGGATATAAAAATGGCTGAACGAGTGCCAGCAAAATTTCCTTAGAGTTCTTAAAGACCGTAACTGTGAAGATCATGGGTACAGCCATTGTGAAAAGGAATGATTCTTCTGTTTGCCAAGTGTTTCTTGGTTTGGTCGTTTATGTGTCTATAAATGTGTTCAGGAAGTATAGTTGGACTGTCTATGTTCTGGTCAGCTTTTTCCTCTAAAACTTGTCACGGAAATGAGAAGGGTAACGAGAAGCTGCCTTTGTTGCTGATTGCATCATTCTGTGGCTGGTAAATGACTGACATGCAAATGGGGCTAGGTTTTGTGTCCTCATATGTTCCTCTTCAATAACCTTTATCTTTGG